AGTATATATATATATATATATATATATATATTTCACGGGAGGATGGGGTTACTCGAGCGCCGCAAGGCAATCGAGGAGGAGATTGCCAGGACACAGAAGAACAAGAAGACGGAGTACCATGTGGGCCGCCTCAAGGGTCAGTTGGCCCGCATCAAGACCGAAATGCTGGAGAACGCCGCAAGGGCTGCCGGAGCCCGTGGGGGTGATGGGTTTGAGGTGCGGAAAAGCGGCGATGTGCGCTGCGCCCTCGTGGGGTTTCCGTCTGTTGGGAAGTCCTCTTTTCTTTCTCGCGTGACGGCGACGGCGAGCGAGGCGGCCGGGTATGAGTTTACCACTCTCACGTGTATTCCGGGGAAGTTGATCCACAAGGGCACGGAGATTCAGATTTTAGACCTGCCAGGTATCATTGAAGGGGCGGCGGAGGGGAAGGGCCGTGGACGACAAGTCATCGCCACGGCTAGAACGGCCGATATTATTATTTTGATGTTGGATGCGGCTAGAGCAGAGGCTCAACGAAGCAAGATTGAGGCTGAGCTGGAGACGGTGGGTATTCGCCTAAATCAAAGTTTTCCCAACGTGACATTCAAAAAGAAACTCTCGTGTAGTATGAACGCCATAAGCTTTACCTCCACTGTTAAGTTAACGCAGGGTATGTCTGAACCCTTGGCAAAGGAAATACTGAAAGATTATGGAATCCACAACGCAGAAGTCATTATCCGGGAAGACATTACAATTGATCAGTTTATTGACGTTATCGAGGGAAATCGACGGTATATGCCTTGCCTCTATGTCTACAATAAAATAGACACCATTACGATGGAAGAAATGGATCGACTGAGTCGATTGCCGCATGCTGTTGTGCTTTCACTGCAGTGGGACCTCAACGTGGATGAGGTGATTGAAGAAATTTGGGAGCATCTTAATATTATTCGCATATACACAAAGAAACACGGTGCCCACCCGGATTTCACGAAACCCTTCGTGGTGAAGCGCAATGCGAACGTTGAACATATCTGTAAGAGAATACATAAAGATATCGTGTCACGATTTAAGTACGCTCTTGTGTGGGGAACGAGCACCAAGCATCAGCCGCAGCGAGTTGGCATAGGACACCATTTGGAAGATGAAGATGTTCTTCAAATTATGCTAAAAACGTCTAACGAGTAGTTTTTTTTCTCTCTAAATGCCGTGTTGTGAGAAACAAAAGGGGAAAAGAAAAGAAGGAACAATTAGAAAAAAAAAGAGAGAGAGAGAGGTATCGACGAAGGGAATTTGGAAGAGCAGCAGACAGGCAGAGAGGAAAGAGGACGGGGGTGTTGATGATTGTACGCACTTGCTTGCTAGTGTGCTGCTGGGGCAATCAAACGAAATACAGCGAGCACAATAGATAACGCTTCTATTACTCATTGTGGTTGCCCCAATGTCTTTTTCTAATTTTTTTTCTTTAATAAATAAGAAGAAGTGCTTTCATGTATGCCGGCATGAAAATGTCTGTGGGTGGACGTTGTTGTTGTTGCTGTTCTGTCGCATGCCTGTACTCGTGTGGAGAGGCTGCGGCTGTGAGCGGTGAGTTTTTCCCTTTCTCTGTGTGTTTGTGTGTGCGTGTGTATTAACCCTGTTGTTGCGTTTTGTCTACAGTTCTCTTTCTATCTCTCTGTGTCTTTAGGAAGTTGTGTGGAGGATGAAGTCTGTGTCTTATATTTCATGCGACTTTCTCACTTCACACGGCGTGCCAATGACGAAGCCGCTCCGTGATTGGCTGAACCGTGCCTCGTACCTGGCAAAAACCAGGACGACCGAGGCGGATCGGTGCAAGTATGAGCGGTGGGCCATTGGGGTCGTGGAGGAGGCCCTGCGTGAACCGGGCGGAATCGAAGGGAAGGACTGGGCGCGTGTGTCTCCCGTGATGCCGACGAATGCAGTGGACAGAGAACCTACCCTTCTTCGGGACGGCGGTGTTTCGGAGGGAGGAGGAAATGGCGTCACACAGTCAAGTGTGGACCACCGCGCCCTCGTGGTGGCGGAGTCCATGCGGCGCGCCCCAGCGGAGCTTCGCGCCTTTTTGGTACAGGCGATTAATATTACAGATATGGAGGTGACGGCGGGGAGGAAGCGGTATGATGCCGTGACCTTCATGGAGTTGATTCAGGCTGCGCAGGAGCTTCAGCGCGTGTACCAAGCACAGATGGAGGCCCAGCGTCGCGCCACGCCCCCCTCGCCACGGGTGGCGGTGGCGGCTGGCCCCAGCGAGCCTGCGCAACGGAGGTCCGCATTGCCTGCAAAGGTTCCAAGGACGCATTCAGAGGGCGAGGAGAGAGGTCTGGAGAAGGAAAGGCCGAGCAAGACGCGGCGCGGGGAGGTTAACCCGCATCGGCGGGATACTGGAACGGGTCCCACATCATTGGAGTCTGAGCGCACAAGCAACTTCTTTCGAGACTTGGTTTCCTGCAATGCCGCGTCGCTAGCGCCACGTCCCTTCATTGGAGAGTCGCAAGAGCTAGAACGAACGTATTCTAGGTACGAGCCTACCCCGGAAGATATTCGTCCACGCAATGTTCTCGTGAAGGCTCTGGCGTTTGTACTTGCAAAGGCGAAGGAGAAGGATAGTACGGAGAATTCGCTCGCCTCAGCAAGATACTTAAACGAGCAATTGAAGGGGTTAAGGCAGGACCTTCGTGTGCAGAACATTGTGGATGAATTCGCTGTTGAGGTGTACGAAAGGCACGCTCTCATTTGTCTAGAATTGGGAGACATCGGGGAATTTAACCAGTGTCAGGCCTCATTGAAGAAGTTGTATGAGGGGCTTCCTGACGTCACGGAGACTTCCGTTTCTGACTTCTTTTGCTACCGTCTTGCGTACCTTTCCCTTGGCGGCCAGTATGATGCGTTGGCAACGGAGTTGATAGTTTACACAAACACGGTTGCGAGGAGCGCAAAGGCGTGTAAATGTGCATCGCTACGCGTAAAAAAAAGTGATCTGCGGTGGACGATAAAGTTGTGTACTGCGTGCGAAGACGGTGACTGTGTGACGATTTGCCGCGCTATTATGGCACTCCCACGCGGCATGCACTTGCTACTGAAAATATATCTTCAGAAGTGCCGGCTAACGTGGTTGCGAGCGGCACTCAATTGCATACGGGGGATGGTCTCCGCGCACTTCGTCCTGGCCTCACTCGGCTTGACCCCTGTGGAGCGACACAGCGGTGAATGCGTGCCCGACGCGGAGGGGAAGGGAGCCTACTTTTGGTTAGATGGATCCTTTGAGGAAGCCGAGGATGCACTCAGGCGCTTCTTCGAGATGATTAAATTTGCGCTTCCTCACGGATTTTCATTTAAAGATGAGGTCCATTGCGACACGACGAAGAAGCGCTCTCGAAGCGGAGAAGACACAGGGAGAAATGAGGAGGACGCCACCGTGGTTGATGCCGCGGCCTTGCTCAAGTGTGTCGACGCATATATCGCCTTCCTCAGTACACGGCGTGACGTTGGTCTCGGTAACGCCGAATAAATTGGACGCTTCTCCTCCTCATCTGTTGTTGGTATTCTTTTTTTTCTCTCTCTCTGTGTGTGTGCCCATCTGATTGGCGCATGCCTTTTTCTCCCTTCAAATGACAATGGTGTATATGTGTGTAGACACTATTCTCTCTGCACATCCATCTTCCCATTCACCGTGCTTGCTGTGTCCTTCTATTTCTCTTTATTTGGTATCTATTCCTATTACCCAATATACTTGGATAGATTAATCGTGAGATATCCACACACGGCGCACCCTCAAAGGGAAGAAAATTGCTGTTCTTGTTGTTAGTCTTGGTCTTATACCTATAGCAAAGCAGGATAAAGCGGAAGCGGAAGTAGAGTGACGAGCAAGGCGTTGTGGTGGTGAAGAATGGATCAGATGCCTGTTGTTGATAAGGAGTCTGTCGTGCAGAAGCGTAAGAAGGATCATATCGATATCTGTCTCCACAAGAATGTTGAACCGTACAAAGGCGGGGAGTCCATCTGGGCCAAGTACCGCATTCCATATACGGCGCTACCAGAAATTAAAATGGGCCAAATTGATACGAGGTGTAAATTTATGCAGTGGACCCTGTCGTTCCCTTTTATCATCTCCTCTATGACTGGTGGGGAGGAGCATGGTCGCATTATCAATGAGAATTTGGCCAAGGCCTGTGAGGCAGAAGGCATACCCTTTGGACTAGGCAGTATGCGTATTGTGAACAGGTATGCTGCAGCCATACATACTTTTGATGTTAAAAAATTCTGCCCCTCTGTTCCCATGTTTGCTAATATTGGACTAGTGCAGCTGAACTATGGATTTGGTGCTAAGGAGGTGAACCACTTAATCAAATGCGTCAACGCAGACGGTCTCTTTATCCATCTCAATCACACGCAGGAGGCCTGTCAGCCGGAAGGAGACACCGACTTTGAATCACTGCTAGTAAAACTTAAAGCATTGTTGCCGCACATTACCGTCCCAGTTGTTGTGAAGGGCGTTGGACACGGGATAGAGCAAAGGAGCGCGATTGCACTACAGAAAGTGGGGGTAAAGTACATTGACGTCTCGGGATGTGGTGGGACCTCATGGGCGTGGATTGAGGGCAGGCGGCAACGCGATGTGCCGGATGGGGAAAGCATGGGCTACCTCTTTCGCGACGTTGGGATCACCACGGACCTTGCCCTGCAGGAATGTGCTTCTCTCACGCGATCCGGCAATCTCCACCTTATCGCTGGTGGGGGAATTCGCAGTGGTCTGGACATCGCCAAATCCCTCATGATGGGTGCGGAGTGTGCAACGGCAGCCATGCCTTTTCTGAAGGCAGCACTGGAGGGCCATGAGAAGGTGCGCGAAGTCATCCAGAGGTTTAAAAAGGAACTTGTTGTTGCCATGTTTGCCTGTGGCGTGAGCACCATTGATGAGCTGCGAGAAAAGTCCCTTTGCGTGTCTTCATCGCTTTAGAGAGAAGAATAGAAATGGGGAGATGGGGGAGCTAATATATACTTATATGTATATATGTATATAAATGCGTGTATACAACTGTATATATGTATATATGTGTGTGTGTGTTTATATAGGAAGCATTGTGATTAATTAGTTGTGCTCGCGCTTGGGTTTCCTTTTTCTTCTTCTTGTCGCTTCGGACGCTCACGTCTCTCCGATTTTCCTCCTTTTTTTTTTGCGCGGGCGTGCATCTGTGGTGGTGTGTCGGCCGCACACAAACACACACACCTACATGCATGCAGGGTAGCAAGCTATCATACACATCTGATGGTTCAAGGTGGTGTGGTGGAAATCCCCCCCGACTTTGTTCCTTTGGAACATGTTTGTCGGGCCATGAAGAATGCGGACTGCCGCACTCCGGTTATTTTTTTCTACGAAGACGGTGACCCGTTCCTTTCTCTCTGCAAAATTGCCAAGGAGGTGCAATCTGTCGTGTGGCACTTTGATCTTGCGCTCGTGAAAAGCATTCAAAACGCCATGGACTACGTCGATGTGGGGACCCAAAATGGGGACTGGGTGTTTATCACCCACTGTGAGGAGGCCGAGCAGAACCTCTTCCGCGACATCGCACTTAGGGTTTTCCTCCTGAAGCCGGAACCGAAGAAGTACCCTCGACGAGAATTTTTTCGGTGTTTGTTTTGTGTTGATAAGGCCTTTGATATTGAGGGCACCGCAAAGTTGCCTTTTCCCCCGGTCATACTCAAAAACTCCATCATTGCAAGGCGCATCGGCGAGCACTCCTCGAAGTGGTCCGTTAAGCTCCCCTCGGACGCCAAGTACCGGGAAATTGAGGCATTAAAGCGCGAGCGACGTCGCGAGGCCGGTCGCGACAGCGACAGCGAAACGGACTTGAGCGAAGACGACAGGTTGTCTGGTATGTGGTTCCACCGGGCCGTGGAACTAAGCAAGGCGGTGGATGACTCCCCGTTAACCAGGGCGGAGGAAGAAATGCAAACGGCTTTGGATGAGGAGGATGTTGAGACCATCAAGCGCCTTATCACAGATGGAAAGATTGAGGTGTCGAAGATCATCAAGTGCGGCATGACGCCGCTTCAGTATGCATGCTCGACTGAAAAGGTCAAGGCTGCGAAGTGTCTGCTTGACTGCGGCGCCGACCCCAACCAGCCGCGTCAAAGTGATGGGTGTCCTCCCATATTTATGGCCCTCGAAGACGCGTCGCTTGTGGAGGCTTTGGTAAAACATGGCGCGGACTTGTTTATGACATACCAGGGGTGGCGGATAGACGCCCACCCCGACACTTCGCCGCAAATAGCGCGAATGACAAGAAGAATGAGAGCGAACATGTAACCTTTACTGTGGATGGTGCAAGAAAAGAAAAGAAAAAAGGAAACCATCACTGAAACCATTACTTTTCAACTTCGAGCTTTTTTTTTCTACTGAAGAAAAGAAGGAAGGAAAAGACTGAAATAAACAAATATATAAAAATACGTTACGTCTATGTCTTTTTCCATGTATAATGTATGTACAGTGCCCGAAGAAGTGTATAAAATGGGTGTTGGGGACTGAGATGCTATCCCCCCATGCTTGGTGAACAGAGAGGGTCCGGCAAGGCGAGGTGGCATGGAACCTGGTCGGATAAAATGAAGGTTTTATTACCGACATGGCATAGATGGAGAAACTACAGTTCCTTTTTCCCCTCGCTCCGTTCTGTGAGTTGTGACCTCCTGTTTTTTCTTTGTTTTGTTTTGTTTTTGTTTTGGCTGCATTTGCGGCACTGTTGCGGATATCTCGTGGTGGCAGAGCTGGAGGTTTGCTGCTTCCTTCACTGCCTTCTCTTTTGTACGGACGCCGCTGACTTCACACTTTTTGGGGGATTGATTTTTTTTTATTTTATTTCACCTTGCAAAAGAAGTCATTCTTTTTGTTAGTGTTGTTGTTAACAGCGAGGAAGCAAAGAAGCGCTGCCGAGCATGACCACTTTCCTTAGCAAGAAGGGCACTCTGGGGGCCGCGCTGAGTTTGTCGGTTGCAACGATCGGCGCAGGGACAATCGCGTTGCCCTCGACTTTTGAGGACTGTGGAATCATCCCTGTCGTTGCGTTCATGATTCTCGTTGGGGTTTTTACCGTCATTTCAATTGACTACCTCATTCTTTGTGTCGAGACCGTGCAGCTGCGGTCGTATGAAGACATCTCTAGAGAATTGCTGGGACTTTTTTTTGAGCAACTGGCTCGCTGGATGCTTATTGTCTTCAATATCGGCGTCGCGGCGGGCTACATTGTCGTTATTGGGGATATCTTCGAACTCTTGCTGCCGATCATCAGAGTTTACTTGCCATTTTTCGATGACCCCATGCGGATCACATTGGCGATTTGGGCATGTGTGATGCTGCCCCTGGCATGCGTTCCACAGGTGTCATCTCTACGTTTTGTATCCATAGTGGCAATTGCCTCAACGTTTTTTATCTCAGGTGTCATTACCTACCGATACTTTGCACCACAGCATCCATCAGCGACAGAGAGGCGTCACGGTGCGAAGTATATTTCTCTGTCACGTCGCATGGTGTTGACGTTGCCGATATTGATGTTTTCCTTTGACTGTCAAACATTGGTCTTTCAGCTCTACGCCGGTATTGGCGAAAAGACCCAAAAAGGAATGAGGAAAGTATCTATACTTAGCATTCTGGTTACTGGGTTGGTTTATTTTACGCTGGGTCTTTTTGGTTACCTGTCGAATACGCCGCACGTTCATGGTAACATTTTAACAAACTACGATCCTGTAAAGGACAGGCTGTTCGCAGTGGGGGATGCCATGTACTCCTTTACAGTTATCACGGCCTACGTTCTCGTCTTATTTCCTTGTCGTGATGCCGCATTTATACTGCTGTACGGATACAGTACTGCAACACATGAGTCTTGTCATGATGCCATATCTACGAAGGACAACCTAATAGCAACTTGTTTACTTTCTGTAATAAGTCTTTTATTGGCCTTGAAAGCCCCTGGAATTCTTTTCATTATCGCATTATTAGGAGGTCTTTGTAGTAGCAGCTTTTGTTTTACACTTCCCGCCGCCTTTCGTCTTCGCTTACATGCGTTGGGTATTGCACCGGCTTCATCATGGGAACTATTTGTTGCTTTGGCCATGCTGAGCCTGGGTTGTATTGGTGGCGTGATGGGCACGGTGGTGCTGTGCACCGGGATGAGCTAATTGTTGTTCCCCCGCCCCCACCCCTCACTCTCTTTCTCTGGTATGCATGCGTCTGTGTGTGTGTCTGCGCGTGTGTGATTATCTGCCACCATAACCTCCACCATCACGCGAAGTGCTCTTGAAACCTCTGCGGCCTGTTGACCAACTGCCCTTCTGCACATTTGTTCTCGGAAAATTGCGTAAGTACGGTTTTTTTTATTCGCATTCCCACAAGCATTCGACGAAATAACGTTCGGTGCGTCGCTTGGGCGAATTTTAACAGGCAGCCGCTGTGCTTACTAGCTGCGCTCCACACCGTTTCTGCTCTCAGTCGGCGTGTGTTTGGATTCATTGAAGTTTTATTGGTGGTCCCAACATCAGTTTCCGTTCTTGTTATAGGTGTTGTTGTTGTTGCTTTGTTGTAGTCCTTCGGTTTGCCCAGGGCGTCACACGGGGCATGGCTGCCTCTAAAATGCAGAAAACACCCAGTCAAGGAGGGAACGGGGTTATTTCCTGCTTCTCTTTCTTTTGAAATCCACCCAAGTAGAGTTGTGTGCATCTAGTAAAAAAGGTGTAAAACGTGCCGGGCGAGGCGTTTCATGTGAATTGCAGCGACCGTCAATTCCTGGCCGCAGTATGCGTTAGTGGTCGGCATACATCGATAGCAAGCACGCTGAGGTCGGCATCAGCCACAACACCTCCTCTCTACCGACGTCTATACAAGGAGCGCCACCGGGAACACTGCAAGCACCACTTATGCTCACTATCGTCACAAAATCCCTTGGCGCCTGCCCCGCTGCAGCGCTACTCGTCCGCAAAGGATTCTGCGCCGAAGGTCTCTCACTCTATGGCCTGGTAGGACGCCTGCCTCACTGCGTGGTGGCGTTACTCCCGCCGCCGATCGCCGCACCCCGCGACCTCCTCCACGCCCCACTGGGGGGGCTCGCTTGGCAGAATTGGGCGCCATTTCGGGGGCTGCGGCGGCGCCGGGCCGCCTCTCGCTCCCTCCGGCGTTACGTTGCAAAACCGCCGCGGCGCGAGGCGCACGACGCCATCCCGGGGGGAACGCCGACATAAACTAAGCCGCGGCGCCTCTCCGGCGCATTTCCGCGTGCGAGGCGCGAAACGGCGCCCCTTTGAAGGGCGGGGCGCCGCGTAGCCGCGTCGCGGCGGCCCCGGCAGGCCCCAACCCCCAAAGAAAGGGCGCCCGGGGGAGCGAGGAGCCGGCGGAACGCCCGCGTGTGGCGCCAGGGCCCCGGGAAGAAGCCGTTTGCGGGGCGGGCGCCGGAACTTGCCGTTTCCTCGACGACGGCGGCCGTGCGGGCTCGCCAGATGCCGGATTCCGGTTTCCAGCACGCGGTTTTCGTGGCTGCGGCAGGCGCGCGGCCCCACCCGCCGCCGCGTGTCTCGCCGGCCCTGTGAGCGCCGCGGGGGATGGCAATGATGCCCCACCGCGCGGGGCGACAGGCTATACGAGGGTCCCCTTTGCCGCGCCCTCGTCGTCGGGGGCCGGGGCTCCTTTTCGCAACCCGTTCGGCGGGGACGGGTGTGCTCTACGACGGCGCCCGGCGCGCGGGCCAGCGACTTAGTCTGGGACTGCACTGGGGAGAAGAAATTCGTTGCCTGGACAGGGCGAGCGCGACGGAGGCGAACCCGCCGGCGAGAGACGCGGACGGTACGAGGGAGTTGTGCGCTGCCATTTGACAACGTGGAACCGCATGGAAGTTAAGCTCATGGGCATTGCCTGCTCTCCTTGGAATTGGCTTCTGCGGGGGGGGCATGGGCGTTTGCGCCGCTGTGTCCTTCCCCCCAGAGTTCCGTTCGCCTACAGGCTTTCTCTTTGCCGCGTACGTCGCTTCCCTGTGCGCTGGGCGCGTTGACGGCCTCGCGCGTAGCCGTACGCCTCCCACTGGTGCTCACTGCTTCTCTGCTTCCTGGGCACCACTTCTTTCCCCCCCCCCACTCTCTTCCGCAGCAAGCTACAAGCTACACAGCAAGAAACTCCAAAGACAGCGAGCATGGCGGTGTGGCGGGTAACGACGTGGCTGAATGGACGGCGTGCTCGCGTGGCAGCGGCGCGTTGGGGGCGGCGGGGCCGCAGTGCGCGTTTGGGCTCGCGGTTCTGCGCGGCGGCGCTATACTTCGTTGTTGTTCTGTTGCTGCTGCTCCTGCTCACGCCGCAAAGCGCCGTCAGCCAAGCAGCACCGCGGCAGGTCAGCGCGAAGGTGTTGATGTTGAACCTAACCAACCTCCCAATGCCTCAGAAGTTTCTGGATGGACTTGAACTTGGGCTGATGGGGGCGCTCTGGTCGCGCAACTTCACTGCTGCAGATGACGTTCATATAGAGGTCATCAGTAAAGTCGCCACAATGGAAACGAGTGGGGCAGCCGTCGACAAAGCGGTGAAAGCAGACAAAGACATCCTTCTTCTTGCCGGTGTCATTGGTGATACAGCCTTCCTGCACTCTCTGCCCGCAGCTAAGCAAAACAGCCTCGTCTCTTTTGCCCCGTTTACTGGGTCGAGTTTGGTGCGTGGGTGGAACCCCAACGTGTACTTTGTGCGCGCTGATCCTGCGACAGAGCTGCTGGCACTTCTCCGCTACGCCGTGGCTGAGCTGCGGGTGCTTCGGCTGGGCTTCATGTACCTGCAGGGTGTCTCCTTTGGCGATCGCGAGTATGAGCAGGCACAAAGTGTGATGTCGGCGATGGGCTACGCGCTGAGCGGCGTATTCACCGTGAAGGTCCCCTTGACGGGTAGCGCCGACAACAAGGAGTTTGACGAGGCGTGGGAGCAATTTGCTGCGACTCTGCCGCAGGCGGTGATTGTGTTTGGCTCGCCTTATCCGGACACCATGAAATTCCTTACGAGGATGCTGACGGACAGGCGCACCTCTGGCGCGTACTTGCTTGCTCCTTCTGCGGTGCAGGACGCCGTTTTGGGGGTGTGGCGTGCTGTCGTGGCTGGGGGTGTCAAGTTTGTGCCCGGGCAGGTGATCACGACGGGGACGAACCCGCTGGCGAAGGACACAAGGTACAGCGCCATCCGGCGCTTCCAGGAGGTGATGAAGAAATACCTGGCGAACAGGACGGACATAAAGTCTGCTGCAGGCCAGGGATTTCCCAACGACGACAATGCAGGGGAATTGATGGTTGCTGCGTGGATTTCCGGCGAGGTGCTCGCACAGGCGCTGGGTAATCGCGAATGGGTGAAGGACCGCAGCTCCTTCAAGGCGTCCATCTTCAACCAACGCCGGTATTTAATCGACGACCTTGTGGTTGGCGACTACGGTGGGGATTGCAGTGCAGTTGCGGTTTCACAGGGCGCCACCTGCCGCTGCAACCAGGGCGGCCACACGGTGTACATGAAGCGGTTTGTGGAGGGCTACCGTGCAGAGCTTCAGACTGATGACGCGTTCACAGCTGGGCAGCGCCGCTGCGGTGCCAACGGTACACTGTTGTATGCACCTTTGGATGGATTGCTTGCCGTCATGCAGGATAATGAACATGCTCAATTGGCTGTTAGCAGTGTGTTGGGAGGTGCAAAAGCCGCCATTGCTTCGCAGGAGCATGATGCGCCGGGTATGGTGACGTTACGTGTGCTAAATACATCCATAGCTGGGGCACATGACGCTCTAGTGGCAGAGCACAATGAGCGTCGGGTCCATTTTGTGGGT